TTAGATCACAGAATTAGTCATCAAACACGCGACCCATGACCTCTGAAGGCTGTCATCCCCTCTGCGGGATTCACACTTACTTATGCACACATTGTAACCACTAAGTAGCTTTACTATGGCAACGCTGGTATCACACTGATCGCAATAAAAAGTTGGTATGCGAGAAGAACCCATGTGAACCTTAAATGGCCTCAATTATCACAAATGTAATTCGTAAGGATTTAAAAGACTACAGACCTGCACCAAATTTGCTTCTAAACGACAAAATTCGTCATATGCAAAATGAAGGCAAAACTGTTCACCACTTTGCGTTTGGTCAGTCGCCATTCCCGGTTATGGAAAACACTCGCTTGGCCCTCGCAAAACACGCTGGAGAGAAGTCTTATTTAGCAGTTAAGGGAATTGAACCTTTACGAAAAGCCATTTGCAACTTTCACAAGAAGCTCGACCATTTGGAAGGTCTAAACCCTGAGTTCGTTATTGTGGGCCCAGGGTCAAAGGAATTGATTTTCCTGAYGATGAATGTATTTGAGGGAGATGTTTTCTTACCTTACCCAAGATGGTTAACTTACGAGCCACAAGCCCGACTATCCCATCATACRCCAATTAATATCAACACCTATATTGAGGACGAGTGGCGGTTAACTGCCSACAATTTGGAGAARGCCTTTCAACATTCAACAAGCGAATATAAGCTYATYGTCATGTGCTATCCAGACAACCCAACTGGAACCTCATACAGCAGGSTGCAGCTTCAAGCCTTGACTGAAGTCTTYCGCAAGTACAAGGTTATCGTCATTGCTGATGAGATTTACGGCCAGCTGACGTTTAATGGAGAACATGAAAGCTTAGTGAAGCTTTACCCAGAAGCCACAATTCTATCGTCGGGTCTTTCAAAGTGGGCRGGYGCTGGAGGTTGGAGACTTGGYTATCATATCTATCCTGTAGCTTTACAAGAGTTATTCATAGCTGTTGTAAGTGCTGGYAGTCACACCTATTCCTGTGCATCGGCGCCTATACAGTATGCAGCCCTTTCCTGCTTTGATCTGACAGATGAAACGCTATCCTATATGAAGCACACGAAAAGAGTCCTAATTGCCGTTGCTGATTTTTGCYWCAAGCGACTGGTTTCACTAGGAATCAAGGTCACAAAGCCAAAGGGAGGTTTTTACATGTTCCCCGACTTTGAAATAATCAGGGAAGCTCTGCGTAAAAGAGRCATCCAATCTTGCCAAGAAATGTGTGATGCCCTCTTTGAAGAAGCGTCAGTAGYACTGATGCCCTGGGACACCAAAATTAACGGAATAGAAAGATTAAGTGTAAGATTCTGTTATGTAAATTTTGATGGTGAAAAGGCGTTGAGGGCAAGTATGGATGCTGGTGAAATTTCTGTATTGGATGATAGCTTTGTTACAGAGAAGTGTAGCAAGACTGTTAAAGGGATAGAAGCGTTGTGTGAATGGGTTAACAAACAAAAAATGTTATAATCAAACCCCCACCACAATCTTACATGTAACTAGACGCTCTGGGAGCGTGAAGTCGGACTAGCTGCTTGTGAAAATTGAGAAAGACAGGATATTACATGGATAAAAGTATTTCTTAACTTTTTTTTCCAAAACAGCCGAACTCACGGTCTAATAAGAGCGTCTAGTTCAAAATATGCAAAATTTATTGAGACTTTAAATAAACTTGACCTAAAAGGTCATGTAATTAACGCGATAAGATCAGAACGTGACTTGCTTTGACTGATAAAATCAACTACTTTAGACAAATGTCTCGCTAAGTGATATAGTCAAGATATCTAAAACGTTGACCTTTCAGGCAAAGAAAATAAAAACTTTACAAGGAAAAAGATGCCTATAAAATCATTAAATTCGCCTTTCTGTTATTGATAAACAAAGTTTCTTCTTGTTCTAATTTGAAATCTTTGCCCCCACAAGACTGTCTAACACTAGAAAGGATATTGATTCAGTTTTGTAAGCATACAACTCGAAACTCTATGCGATCTGCACATGCGCGTACTTCTAATGCCTAGACAGACGCATTCCGATGAGATCACAGATACCACATTTGTAAACGAATAKTTTTTTCGTCATATAAAAGCCAAGTAGCATATAACATTTACTAACGATATTCGTACATCAATACGCTTGAGCTTCCGGTCATGCAATTACACAGCCAACCCGATAGTTAATTATTAAATTCTTAACTTCCGGTGGTCCAAACGCGACATGACACATAGATAGATAGATAGATTGGCTAAAAGGTAAATTTAAAGTCGGACCGCCTTCGGCTAGTCCGACTAATAATCCCATTTTGTAAAGTTCCACATGCTTGATCAACTATTAAATACCCAATCGCTTTATGAATATCATTAAAATCTATGTCGTTATTAAAGAGCCTTTTAATTATCACCTTTGGCAGACATAAAACCTCAATAAACCATAATTCTCGATGTCTCTCAAAACGCTGGAAATCGCATTTCCAAGAAGGGTTATTTATTTTAAAATTTTCTGGGGGAGGTCCAGACTCCCTTAATATCCCCGCCTTAATACCCCCAGATCCAAAATATGAGTCGCGGTCCCTGACATGTGCATAAAAAGTCCACGCTTCGCGCCTGACTAATCAAAGACTCGTTGATGTTGGATTAAATTGACCAAGGTATGAATTTTTTTTTCAACTATTGATTTTTTTCAATTTTGTCACATAAATTGAGGATGTAGTTGTCACATAAATTGAATATGTAGACTGAAAAACATATTGATTATTTATTAGACATAACAAGCACAAGTAATATCAAAGTCGTTTTTGACCATTAAAACGTAACATAAGCCTTTTTTGGACCTTGAAAACCTTTGCCAGGAACAAAATTGTTTGAAAGAAGCAAGGACGCCACATTTGCTTGTGAAACTTATAACAATGTAGCCAATGTTTAATTTTAATGTTTAATTTTCTTTAATTTACCCAGGAACAAATTCATACAAGAACAGTTATTTAGCAGAACAGACCCCGTCAGCTCGTCCCCTGAAAGGTTTTTGTCTTTACACTTAGATCCAGATTAGTAAGCCACCTCTTGTTGCTACAGTTGACTCGACTCACTTGTGCTTGTTTTATAACTAATGTTAATAGTTAGGGGGAGAGAGGGTTGAGATTCGAACAAAMGCTATGCGTTGCCTAACGCTATATTTTCCCTAAATCTAATCATTAAGCCATAGTTGAACCCGAATTTTGTTATGTACATAGGATTGCTTACATAATTTATGAATCTTCAATGTATCACGAGAGGTATCGGTGATCGGTGTTTATACATCTATACACCCTATTCCCAAAAACGTTGTCGTCACCAGGACACAGTCCACAATCTTGAGCCTGCAAAAAATCTCGGGGTTTCCATGTGTAATTAATATATTCAAGATATATTTGCCTATGTGGTTTGAATGCAATGGCGGTAAAACACTACTAATATACTATTGCTGGTATTAAATTCATCGTGCAAGTATCATGAGAAAAGTACCATCAGACATTTGTTACGAGCTTCAAAGAGACTGAGAATGTGAAAAACGGAAAGTGAATATATAATTTCATATGGCAATCCCTAGATTCTTTGTAGCCTCAAGACCGTGGACTGCGTCCTGGCAACGACAATGTTTTTTGAAATAGGTGTATATGGACGTCGTTCAACCAGGGCGAGTCATGGGGTTCCTGTGTAATGAACACAGGAATCCCAATTTCAAATAAAAACAAACACAACAGACAATAAAAAGTCTTTCCTAATAGGTTTAATATTAAAACCTTCTTTTTAGTGCTCATTCATGGTCTGGTTGTTTTTATGCAAAATGGGAAAATAGATCTTTTAATTATTTTCCCAGATGCAACTTTTCTGTACACGTCAATAATGTACATTTTAGTAACTTTATCAAAATAGGAATTTACATTTTTTAATTATTACGAATTCCAGAATAGACAAAAACATAGCAATCTACTTCATTCCTAAATAGCTTTGTTTTTATCCAGAAAGTTTTAATAAAAGAGTGTCCGGCTACTATTACTCTTTTAATTCAAAGGGTTGGGATGTCCAAAGCCCGATTAGCTTTAGCGTCAACCCAGGATTATAATCAAGCTTTAAACTGACTGGCTCAGGATAGCAAAGGGGTGGATCTCAATTACCTAGTGTGAAGAGAAAGAAAAAAAGACGAAAATAACATCACACTGCACACCATTAAATAATACTATGTTCATGAGTCATTTTAATGACCAAAATGCCAAGTTTGATTTTATAAAACTACAGCCTACATTTTGGTCAACTCAACCAACCAGGAGCCCATTACTAATGGGCTCCTGACCCAATGCAAAACACCCCCATGCTACCCTGATTCCATACTATGCCTTCCTGTGTCCTCCGAGAGAAGTACAGACAGCTCATGTATCCCATGGTTCCATAGCCTGATTATAAGACCCTCCCCTCCCCTCCCTAGTGGATCTGATAGTCAGGCTACAKAATCTACTGGTGCTGGAGGAAAAACAATAATATTGTGCATTTGGTTACACTTGCCACATCTAATTTTCAATGGCAATAACTTAAATAGATAATTATATTGATACTAAACATGAAAAAAGAAAAAAAACGTTTTGAACTTAGCAAAAAAGAAATTTAGAATTAAATCATTGAAGTTTGAAAGCAATCACAGATACTGGAAGCTCTTGACAAAAACCAATTTAGTGTGAACACAATATTATAGAAACTATGGATGGAATGCAAACACTAAAACCATGGAATATAATAATTAAAWAGAGCTACATTCTACTGAATTATGGTGAAGTCAAAAACATTTTAAAATAGATACACTAAATACAACAGGAAATGTGCAACGACACAATTTTGTGCAGCAAAGCATGATGGTAGTTGTAGAGACCCTAAAATATCTCCATAAGAGGCATTTTTAGATTTTCTTTTAGTAGAAACAGTAAAACTACTTCTACTTTTTCTTTTAAAAAAAGTAAAAAAAAAACTCCTAATGAGAACTGTTGTAGCGGACATAAAAAAGCAYGAGGACTACAACTGCCATGATGCTTTGCTCCACAAAATGGCGTCGTTGCACATTACCTATTGCATTGTTTTGTTTTGCATCTATTTGACTAGCACGCTTTGCTTCACGGGTGCAATGACTTACTCTATTGCCTCATTAAAAATTCCTACTTAGCACGATTTGGTTTGCACTTTTTGACACATTTAGTGTTTGCACTCTGTCTGTCACAGTTAATAACTATTCTTAAAATTCAAGAGCAGTTGGGAATAGCCTCGTTCCTACCACAGAAACAATAGAATAAACAATCAATTTACACATAGATTTGAGGCTATTCTCGCCTGTAATGGGATTTTAAGAATAGTGAATGGAGCAAGCACAAGAGAAACCTCACATAAAATATCTAAGTCTGTCATGACAATATTTCAGATGACTCGGTCATAATATACTTGCGAAAGTGTTAATTACTACTAGATGCAGAACATTGTATGGTTRATAACCTCTATTATGCCTCCACAAGGCTACACTCAGACTTGCCCTCTATTAGAAGCAACCAACCTACCTCTTTTTAATGCCCATTTTGAAATGTCCCTATGGTGAACGCTCAAAAGAGGTAAGGCTTGAGCCATAAATAAAAGGGTTCATTGTACAAACTGTTGCATGGAGAGTGCTTCTTGGTTTTATTTTGTGACCACCATTTAGGGAATTAATAATTATTCAAGTTTAATAATTAAACTGATAATAATTAWATTGATAAAGTTTATCAAGTGCTGGCAAAACGTTTTTATGAGCAATTGCTTATTAGAGCGGATTTCGTATGAGTGGGACACCGTTACCGCACGGTTACCGCACAGTTACCACACCTGGCCTGCAGAATTTTGGTGAAACAATGGGGCACTAGAATTTGGTTACAGTACGATTACAGACACAGTACAGTACTGTCCGTTTCCCACTCATACGAAATCCGCTCTAGCTGAGTTCTGTGGTCCAAAAGGACCATTGAGTTTAGATTTTTTCACCTAAAAGTTTCCTCAAAATTTCAACTTTACTAAGACATTCATTTAGAATTGAACAAAAAAAACATTATTTTCATGTAATTTACAGAATAATATCACAAAAGTGTGTACATGTTAAATGGCCATTTCATGGATAACTGACTCCGCCATTTCAAATCAAGCACTTAGTGAAAAACCATTCCTACTACTGACAATATAGTGAAG